CTAACCAATCTACCTTTGGCACCATTTTTTCCCTGTGGCACCATCAGTAACCTTCGGCAGTTAATGTACATAATTGGTTTAATTCAACTGATCAAGTCTTAATAATTTTTTAAGGTGTCACTATTTAATTGTGCTTCTTGTCTTCTTGGATTAGGATGTCTTAATTTCCGAGAGGATTTACTATTAAATATTGGTTTAATGGAGACCTGGGCTCCTGCTTTGTCCCCACCTGGTCTCTGGGGCAGTGTGCATGTGTGTGTGTGTGTATGTGTGTGTATGTGTGTGTGTGTGTGTTGTCTAATACGTAAACGGGATGATTCCTTCTACTTTACAGGTTTACTGTGAGGATTAGATAAACTAATGCTCGGCACAAACGGGTATTCAATAAATGGTGGTAGAACTACACGTTCCTTTCTTTCTGCTGATGTCCAGGCCTGATCTCAGGTCCAGCAAGCTTGGCAGTGTAAGGTGTGTGGCCTTCCCTGGGGTCTAACGACAAACACTTGGTGTAATGTAGGCCACTCTTTGTATAAACAGAAAAGAATGGTGATTCCATTCACTCTTTCACTCTATGGTTGCTGGTTGGAGTTACCCACAATAAGCTCAACCGTAACAAAATGCCGTGGATTGGAACTGGCCTCATATATTGCTTTTAAATACTCAGCTTACATGACCAAGTATGACTAAAACTGTGACCCTTCTCTGGGGTGGCCTAAAGCCGGGGATGCAGGCACTCACGAGCGGTGGGGAAGAGCCGGACACACCGAGAACCCTGAGAACCACAGCGCTTCGTGCTGATGCCGGGGCACATCTCTGAGCCTCGGCAACGCAGCCACAGGACCTCAGTCCAGAGGCTACTTTTCACACTCCCCCTCCCCACTCGGCCATAAGGTACACCAGCTGGGCCGGGAGGGGCCGTGCCAACACTGACCCAGCTTCCCCCAGCACCCGCGTATTCCTGGCGGCATGTGAGGACTAATTTTCCATACTCTCTCCCTCAAAACTGAGCTTTATGGGGGGGGGAGGGGAACGGGAAGAAAGCAACTGAAGAGCCGACCTCACCCAGCACGCGCAACCCCAGGTATGACTAAAACCTCTCCCCGGTGGTCCTCTTAGCCCTGAAGATGCCGAACCTTGCAACACCGTGCCTGCAGCGAGTTTAACAAACAGCACACGTGCCAGGATCCGGAATGGTCCTCACGATTATCTTCGCAGGCCTGAGGCCCCCGAAAGCGCCTGAGCGCCGGCCACCCGGTGGGCGGAAGACCGCTGGGCAGCCGGGCCGCCCGGGCAGCCACCCGGGCTTCTCTCGGGCCCCAGCCCCACCCACGCCCGGGCTCCCAACGCCCGGCGCCCTGCGGCCCCCGCCCGCGGGGGGTCACCTGTGCGCGCGGGGCCCGGAGTGGCCCCCGGGGAGGCTCGGCGCCGCCCCCATGCGAGCGTGCGCGAGACCGAGGGTCCTCTGCGTCCCGGGCGGCGGCGGCCGCCACACTCACCACGCCGTCACTTCCGCCGGATCCGAAAGGGAACCCCAGCTGGACCCGCGCCCCCGTCCACCCCTCCGGTCCTTAGCGGTCACGACCCGGCCGCCCGCCCGCCTCCCCGCCTCGCGCGCAGGCCCAACGCCACGGCCCGAGCGCCCCGGACACTCACCGGGCGCGCGGCCGGAGCGGGCGGGGCGGCAGCGGAGGTGACAACGGCCCCGGGGGCCCCAAATACCGCGGCCAGGAGGCGGGGCCGCGCGGGAGGGGCGGGGCGGGGCGGGGCCGCGCGGGGCGCCAGGTGCGCCAGGTGCGCCGCCGAGTCCTTTCCGCTCCCAGGGTGGTGACTGCGTACCCGGGGCCGCCTGGGGCGTGGACGGAACGAAGGCCCGGCTCACCGGAGGCTTTCAGTGGGGCGACCCGGGTGTCGCTGTGTCTTAGTCCAGAAAAGTGCCCCCCCTGGCACGTGGGCTTGAATCGCACAGCGCAGAGCAGAGCGCGCTCTTCCTGGGTGTGCAGAGGGCCCAGTTACCCGACCCGTGTGAATCGGACTCCAGGGAACCGACAGATTGCACAAATGCTATGGAATCCTGGTCTGCCACCTCGGAGCAGTCTTGGAGAACGGAAAGGGCTCGGGTGACTGCAGTGGGGAAAATGCTATCCTCGTCTTCAAAATGATAAGTTCAATTTTGTAAACCTCAGGTAGTTTAGTGCCTCTTCTGCCCTTAGCCTAAGCCAGGGGCTCTCAATATCGACACTATATTTACCTCTGAGCCGGATAAGTCTTTGTTGCAGGAGGGCTGTCCTGGCCCCTCTACCCACTAGATGCCAGCAGCAAACCCTGCCATCCCTCCCCCAGAGTGACTGTTTTAATTTTATTTTTGGAGTAGTAAACATTGACGAAGGTTCGAGATATCTCGCTTCTACCCTTATCTTCTCCAGTCCTTTTCACCCCAAGTTTATTAGCTGAGCTTTATCCTTCCAGCTTATCTTCTTGCAGAAATAAGCAACATAAATATATTGTGACATGAGAAATAAAATTGAGTCACTGTGTCACCGGGTTTTAAATGGAGCTGGAAAGCCATCACGGAGGTGGACTTATGCACGGCCTCACCAGGTAGAACGACAAACCTTTGAACTGGGTGGAACCACAAAAGCTCCAAGGAGTGTGCAAGAACAACCTGCAACTTGTCACAGTAAGACCTTCCCCTCCCTCTAGTGATGGCCTTAGCGATCAGTCAGGGTCAGCCAAGACTAGCTACTGCCACCATCGGCAGTAGCTGAAATTCTTAGTACGGCAACCTGCCTTCCGTGCCTTTAAAAGCCCCTGACTCCTTTTACTACTCCCAGTGTGACTCGGTTTGGGTTCCTACCCGAATCTGTGTGCCCCAAATTGCAATACTCTGATCTCAGATTATCCCTTTTGGTTTGGTTCTTGCCTCCAAGGTTTCTTCAGGTTAAAAAAAAAAAAGTATATGTATATATATTCCACTCCTTTCTTATCAAAAGGGTAGCATTCTGTCTCTCCATCTGTCCATCCGTTATCTGTCGATAGTTCTGCAACTTGCTTTTTTCACTTAACACTAAATTTTGGAGCTCTCTTTAATTTGGCACATAGAGTTCATCCTTATTCTTTTTCAAGGCTGCACTGTATTTCATTGTGTGCCACTGATGGCCATTTGGGTTGTTTCCAGTCTTACGTCATTGCAAATAACGCTGCCATATAAAACCTAGTGCGGGGCTTCTCAAACTGTAATGCACGTGCAAACGGTCTGAGGGTGTTGTTGAAATGCAGCTTCCACTATTTACAATAGCCAGGACATGGAAGCAACCTAAGTGTCCATCGCCAGATGAATGGATAAAGAAGACGTGGCACATTTATACAATGGAACATTAGCCATAAAAAGAAACAAAATTGAGTTATTTGTAGATAATGATTGTAAGAGACTGTCATACAGAGCGAAGTGAGTCAGAAAGAGAAAAACAAATACCGTATGCTAACACGTATATATGGAATCTAAAAAAAAAATGGTTCTGAAGAACCTAGGGGCAGGACGGGAACAAAGACGCAGACCTACTAGAGAACGGACTTGAGGACACGGGGAGGGGGAAGGGTAAGCTGTGACAAAGCGAGAGAGTGGCATGGACATATATACGCTACCAAACGTAAAATAGATAGCTAGTGGGAAGCAGCCGCGCTTGGGAAGCAGCCGCATAGCGCAGGGAGATCAGCTCGGTGCTTTGTGACCGCCTAGAGGGGTGGGATGGGGAGGGTGGGAGGGAGATGCAAGAGGGAGGAGATATGGGGACATATGTATATGTATAACTGATTCACTTTGTTATACAGCAGAAACTAACACAACAATGTAAAGCAATTATACTCCAATAAAGATGTTAAAAGAAAATGCAGCTTCCAGTTCACTAGATCCGGAGGTGCTGCGTTTCTAACACGCTCTCTGGTAGCTGATGCTGCTGGGTCACAGGCCACACGTTCAGTAGTAAGAACTTGGTGTGAATATTGTTTTGTATGATTCCTAGATTCTTAGGAATGGGATTGCTAGATCAGAAGTTAAATACAGATATATTTTTATTAGCTATTGTCAAATTGGAATTGTTAGGAATTGTTTCCTCTCACCAGCTATATCCGAGTGCTTCTTCACAGACTTACTAACAGTGATGCCTGGATATCTTTGGATTTTTACCAATCTGATAGGTGAGAAAAATATTGTCTCAGGTAGTTTAATTAGCATTTCCCTTACTGTGAGTGAGGTTGAACATCATATGCTTTTCATATGTTTAAAATCCATTGCCTCTTTCTGATTTATTTTTTACCCTGTGACCTGCTCATGACTTATGTTCATTTTTAAAAATTGTTTGGTCTTTTTCTTCTTGGTTCTTAAGTGCTCTTTATATATTAGCATAATTAGTCTTTGTGATATGTCACACATATTTTCTCCCAGCTTCTCATCTGTCTTCTGACATTGCTTCTGGTGATTTTAGCATATATCTTTTTTATGTAGTCAAATTTAATGATTTTTCCTTTATGGCCTATAGATTTTTGCATCATAATTAAAAGTCTTTCTCCAGATTGTAGAGTTCACCAGTGTTTTCTTGCAGTATTTGTATGGTTTTTCTTGTTTTTCTGTTTTTTTTTTAAGGCTTTTTTTTTTTTTGGATGTTGCGTGTAGGAATTTATTAATTAATTCATTAATTTTTGCTGTGTTGGGTCTTCGTTCCCGTGCGAGGGCTTTCTCTAGTTGTGGCAAGCGGGGCCACTCTTCATCGCGGTGCGCGGGCCTCTCGCTGTTACGGCCTCTCCTGTTGCGGAGCACAGGCTCCAGATGCACAGGCTCAGTAGTTGTGGCTCACGGGCCTAGTTGCTCCGCGGCATGTGGGATCTTCCCAGACCAGGGCACGAACCCGTGTCCCCTGCATTAGCAGGCAGATTCTCAACCACTGCGCCACCAGGGAAGCCCCTGTTTTTCTGTTTTGTTTTGTTTTTTACATTTAGACTGCTGATCCATTTAGAGTTGATCCTGGTGTTTGGGAAATGTAGATCCAATTTTTACTCTTTCAGATGGCTTTCCGGTTGTTCCAACTCCATTTGTTACAAAGTCTGTATTTTCACTGATGATTTGACAGGCCACCAAAGAGCTGTCTGCACGTTTCTGGACCCATATCCTGTTTCTGTATATGCCTGGCTCTGAACGTTATATCCAGCCACATCTGTCACTCTTTCAACTACAGAGCTTTCCTGATGCGAGTCGCTACCTGGTGCGGGGCAGTCTCCTCATCGCTCCTCTCTTTCAGGGTTTTCCTGGCTTTCTCTGCTTCTTTATTTCCGCATATGAACTTGAGAGTCAACTTGTCTAACTCTAAAAAAAAAAAAGTGTTGGTATATTTGTTAGAATCATACTGAATTTACCTGTGGTGAATTAACATTGCTTCCTGATTTAGCTGTCCTCTCTGAAGGGGAGCAGAACATGCCACCCCAAAATGTGCCCCCCTGGCATGTGGATTATTTTGAGCAGAAGGCAACCAAGACCCAGCAGACTCAGGAAAACTTTTACCTCTCCCTTAACTGCCTAAAAGAATGTAGATAGGGGGCCTAGCCCAGAAAGAGAGTTGTGACCAGAGATAACTTTTCACCTGAAAGACTTACCTGCACAGCGGGGCAGACATCTGCTCTCCTTATGGTCCAGTGAATGCCCCCACGCCCCGCCCCGTGAAGCCCCGCCCCACCCCATTCCTTAGCTCAGGATGGCATATAAGCCTCAACTGTCTGTCTTTGGGTCTTATATTTTCATGGGACTCCCATATATGAAACTAAATTTGTCTTTCTTCTGTTAATCTATCTTATGTCGATTCAACTATTAGACCAGCCAAAGAACCTAGACAAGTAGAAGGAAAATTTTGATGGTCCCCTACATAGCCAAGAACATGCTGGATCTTTCTGTTTGCTCAAATATATTTTTTTGTTTTTCAGGACTGTTGAAGTTTTCTTCATAGAAGATTGGCACATCTATTATTTAGTTTATTCCTAGTTATTTTATCTTTAGTTATTTTATCTTTCCGGTGATATTATAAGTAAACACGTTTCTTCCATTATGTTTTACAACTGGCTTCTGTTTGAATAGGAGAACATTGTTTTTATGTGTTAACTTTATAACTCGCTGCCTTACTGAATTTTCTTACTATTTGGATGAGTTTTTTTTTTAATTCATTCTTTTGAGTCTTTGAGTCCTACAGCTATATTATATCACCTGCAAATAGAGATAGCTGTATTTCTTCCTCCAATTTTCATGTCTCTAACTGTTTTCTCTTGTTTGATTGCAGTGGCTAATACCTCTGATAGAGTAAATTACTTAACCTACCTACATTTTAGTATGTTAATACCTAGAAAATAAAAAAAATAAGCACAGGAAGCCAGCATGACTCCACAAAAGAACAAGTCCTAACCTCATTTGCTTTTTCTAAAAATAGGTTTGGGCTTCCCTGGTGGAGCAGTGGTTGAGAGTCCGCCTGCCGATGCAGGGGACGCAGGTTCGCGCCCCGCTCCGGGAGGATCCCACGTGCTGCGGAGCGGCTGGGCCCGTGAGCCATGGCCGCTGAGTCTGCGCGTCCGGAGCCTGTGCTCCGCAATGGGAGAGACCACAGCGGTGAGAGGCCCGCGTACCGCAAAAAGATAAAAAATTAAAAAAATTAAAAAAAATAAAAATAGGTTTACTTGGCAGGGAGACCTAGGCAGGGGTTCTGTAGACCAGTATTCTCTACCACCCTGTCTGGATTCAAATTAGGTTGGAGAACTGTTTCCAAATTATGTAGGCTAATAATTCTAGGCTCAGTATTCTTCTAGAAAGATTTCTCTTAGCATAAACTTGTTGAATGCATATTTATCACATTTTCATAACTTAATATCTTAACAGGCTTTTAATGAAAAACAGAATCAAACCCAAAAGTAATCAGATATTTAAAAATAGATGATATGAGTACACAATTGAAGAACTACTCCGATCACAGGTCGTGTGTGACAAAGGCCTGGGTCTCAATTGTCTCTAACCAAGCATGAAACACCAGCTTGATGTGGTATCACTGGAAATGCTTACGGGATTTCCACCGCCCCCCCCCCATTAGCCACTGATTTACAGAGGGAAGAGGTTGCTGGCATTCTTTAAACAAGACCCCTGGCAAACAGTCTCCAGAGCCTCACGGCTGAAGATCTAAAGGTCATCACTCCACCGTTCCTCAGAGCTCTTCCGTGCTTTTTCTCCGCTCTTCCTGATTCCTGTTGTTCAGTCATTAACTCGCCAATGGAGAGTGTCACACTCTCTCTGGACCACAGGCCACGAGGAGGATGGAAAGGCAAGGAACTCCTGCGTCTCACCCGCATCTTCGTTTCCCTCAAGGCTTTTCCATGTTTGGACCTTCACTCACAGAATGAGCCATGGTAATTGTCTTGGAAGCTGAGTTTGGGGGGGGGTCAATGGTGAGGAAAGAGCACCCCAGCCTGTTTGCAGAAGGACGCACACAGTTATTGCTCAGTAGGACTTGGTGATTCACTGGTGTCTAATGTTTACAGAATTCACCTCAGATATAACAATGATGTCAACAAAAATGACTCCAGAGAATGCCGTTTTCTTTCTGATCCCAGCTAATTGGTCCCTGCTGCCAACGCTGACAGAACATCTGGCCTTCACTCAGCAATAAAATGGCATTTTCTTTCCCCAAATGTCCCTGGATGGGGAACTGGTTTGAAGTCCATTTCAAAGGACTTCAGTGCTCACTGTAAGATAAAAGTAAACAGAGCCTTTCAGGTGCGGATCAAGCGGTCTGCATTTACAGTCAGTCACGTGGAGACAGAGATGAACAAAATCTTGATCATGGTTTCTAAACACAGCTCATTTTATTTATGAATTTGGGATTGTTACAGGTCAATGTTTTCTTTCATTGTGTTTTAGTTTTGAAAATAATCCTTCTTTCAAATGTTGGAAATAATTTGTTGGACAAAACACTCAAAAAGCATGTTGTGACCCGTATCCAGGTCATTTAACACAAGTCAGTTTTGACATTAGAGCGCACGCAGCAACTCACGCACGACCCGACCACAGAACAGCCAGTAAACATCTCCCTGAGTCAGTGCATTTGTCCTGCTGACATTTCAGCTCCAACACAAAAGGAGGAGAGGGTGGTCCTCTCCTAACTCTGGGCCTCTCACTGTGACTTTTCTGTCATTAATGCGTTCCACGTGCATTTTTCAGTATTGCGTGGATTGACTGACTTGCAAAACGTAAAGAGCGTTTCTGCTTTACGTGCGTGGTAGGGATGGATTTGGATTGACTTAGCCATGTCTTTTAGAAATCAGACCACAGTGAATGAGCCAAGAAAGGTCATCTCTAAATAGTCAACTGGGGCCTTAGATAAGCAACCAAAACTTACCCTAATGGGTTAAACCATCCATGATTAGGTCAATTGCTTACTAACCCAAGCTAATTAAATGGATATTTACCACACATCTATAATGCAAAACTCTGAGACTGGTCCAGGGCTAGCTAGAACCTCTGCTCTCCAAACGGGGGCATAAAATAAGTTCCAGGCAACTATCTACATCTATCCGGTTTCCGTAGAGACAGTGAACACTGCAATGTTTCCTACAAACAACAGAAGTCCTCCAAATGACATAGAGCATATTCTGTCAGCAACCTATGATACTTGGCTCTTCATATCTTTTTTTTTTGGCTGCACTGGGTCTTCGTTGCTGCGTGCTGGCTTTCTCTAGTTGCAGCAAGCGGGGGCTACTCTTTGTTGAGGTGCGCGGGCTTCTCACTGCAGTGGCTTCTCGTTGCAAAGCGCGGGCTCTAGGCGCGTGGGCTTCAGTAGTTGTGGCATATGGGCTCAGTAGTTGTGGCATGTGGGCTTAGTTGCTCCGCAGCATGTGGGATCTTCCTGGACCAGGGCTCGAACCTGTGTCCCCTGCATTGGCAGGCAGATTCTTAACCACTGTGCCACCAGGGAAGTCCCCAGTGACTTCCTTTTTTTTTCAAACTGGAAACCACCTTTCACATTCAGATGCTTGGACTCATAGCACCTTCATACCCTTGAAACCCCACTAGGTAGCAGAGCTGGAAAACCCCAAACTCCATGTGTTAGACATTTATTGTACTGAGTGCTGTATCGGGTCATAATGGAGTTGAGGAATAAAACACGGTCCTTTCCCTTCTCGCCGTTCAGATGGATGGGAAAGGAGATTGTGTCTCGGTGTAGTGGGCGGCGGCTCTGATGGGCACGCACACAGCGTGATAGGAACAGAAGGACGGAGCCAGCGATGATGCCGTGGGGCTTGGGACAGATTCACGGGGGTGTCGGGGAGCTGGGTCTTGGGGGAAGGGTGACTGTCCAGGTGGAGAGAGGAAGAGGAGCCGCCCAGGCAGGGTCACTCCTGGGAGTGTGTGAAAGGGCTCCCGGGAGGTGCTTTCAGGGTGGGGTACAGGATGTGGGCCGGGGAGTGGCCAAGGTGAGGCCAAGTAGGGTTGAAAAAGGGTCAGGCTGGGCTGGGCTGGACTGGAAAAAGCCCCGAGGCCGTCCTGAGGAACTGGGGTCTTATCTGTCAAGCAATGAGGGACCGTTGTAGGATTCTAACTGAAGGAGTAACATGACTCATTCTTTTATTCACTCATTCATTTCCTTCCCTCCCTCCCTTTTCACCTGACTCTAGCACTGCCCTTGGAATGGGTTGGACGCAGAGCAAGGAGTAGCAGGGCCATTTAGGAGTGGCCCTCAGGGACATGAGCACAGGCACGTGGGCCTCAACCCACCGGCGGTAATGCTGGTGAGGCCGGGGCTGATGAGGGGGCAGAGATCGCAGGATCTGATGACCAGGTGGCCTGCGGGGAGGGACCAGGGAAAGAGTGGAGTTCCAATTACCCAACTCGGATAATTGGATTCAAGGTGATGTAATTACCTGAGAGAATACGAGGGGAGGAGACGGGAAGGTCAGATGAAGAATTGGTTTGAGTCAGAAGGGGCTCATGGTGAAGGTGTCAGGGAGACGGTAGGAACAGACTCAGGTACGGGATGGAGGTGCTGGAAGCCGCGCGGGTTGTGCTGGCCCACAGCCAGGAAGGTGGAGGGGGCAGGAAGACGCTGGGCTGTGGGAAGCAGGGCCAGTAGGTATAGCACCAGCTGCTGGTCCTGGAGGAACAGAGTGAGGGCAGGAAGAGGCCGCTTCTCGCTGCAGGTCAACAGTCCCCCCAGTGACGGTGGGACAAACACCAGGGTGCGTGGGATCCGGTCACGGAGAGGTGTGGAGGTAGCTCTTTGGGAGAGGGAGAGAGTGCTGGCCAGAGCTGCAGGTAAGCTGGAAGGAAGGTGTGTGTTTTAAGGACGGAACAGAGCTGAGCACATCATTTGCTTTCCAAAGAGCGACGATCAGAAACAACCATAAAGTACTAGGAACTTAGGAAATTGATTTAAAGGAAACTCTAAACTGAAAAATGATTGTTCTGTCAAGAGGACAATAGTGAAGCAAAGCAACGCTGCTTATTTCTAGCTTGATAAGTATTTGTGTTATTTAGATCTTTCATCTAATGGTTCAGATGAAAGTTGCACTTTCCAGCCTGACACGTTAACCCAGCACCTGAAGGACAGGTGCCCAGAGGTGAGGCTCTGTAAGGCTTAGAGGGGGCTCATCTATGCTGTGAATGACCTGAAACCTGGAAGATGTTCTTCAGAATCTGGGTTTCAGTCATTTTACTTTATTCAATTATTTTGCAATTATACTGTCACTTAAAATCTGAGTTAAATTAAGAGAATCTTGTTACTTGAGTTTTTTTAATATTCCTGATCATAAATTTTTAAGACATAGTTAAGTAACTGAATAGAGGTTTCTCTCACTCGCTCTCTCACTTTCTCTCTCTCTCTTTATTCTCATCTAGAGAAGCTGACTTTCTCGTCTGGTCGGGAATCACCTGGGCGATCCATTTCACAATGCAATGCAGAGCGAGATGAACCAGAACCTGCTGTCTGGGATAGGGTATGCGAGGGTGCAGCTGACTCTGGCAGCCTTGCCCTGAGGCCCCAGGTCACTGCTGAAGGGAGCTGGATGAATCTGCATGAGGAACTCAAGAACTGCCTCCTCAGATGCCAAATTAGCAGACCTACTGGCTTGACCAGAGCAGTCCTGATGGGGCCCTGTGGCGACGAAGCTGCTCAAACTAAACAAGCAAACAAAAAAAACACTGTGGCAAGCAGGGCTCAGCTGTCACGAGGCCACTTTCAGCCAGTCTGTGCTGCCTGGGGAGCACCAAGGCCCCCCGGCTGCTGCCCCCCTGGCACGGGGGCTGGAATGGAACCTGCTTTACAGAGCAGTGGCCTTGGAGATCCAGGAGGGTGCCTTCTCGGCCAGGCTTAGTGCTCGGGGAGTGGGATGCCCTTGAAGACTCACTGGGTTTCCCACAAAGGGCAGGGGGTTTGATTCCAAAATGCAGGCTTGGGTACATTGACCTGAAGCAAATAGATGGCCAGGTATTCTCCAGCAAAGATGAGTTTATTCAGGATCAGCAGAGAATTGCAATTCGGGGGCTCAACCACGGCAGCCACGTGCAAGTGCCCACACGGCAGAGGAAGGAGACACTTATAGGCGGGACAAGGGAGGAGGCGGGCTTAGTAAACAGAGCCCCAGCCTTTCATTGGCTGAGTCCTGGCGGGAAAGAATGGGAGTCTTTCTTCTGTTGAGCTGGGCTGTCAGTGCAGGGGTGAGAGCGCCCCCTGCTGGTCTCCCGACTCTGTTTAACAGGTTTCCGTTCATTAATGTTTTACAGCAGTCACAGGACAAAACCCAAAAGGGACATGAGATATGCATTTTCATTATTCCTGCGTGGGGAGGGTGGTCAGAACATTGTCCTTCTTTTTAAACAAAGCAAGTGGTTCCAGCATATTCTAGACTCCCATCCAGCCTGAGGTAGAGAACCTCAGCCCCTCATCAGGAAGAAGGGCAAGGGTCGAGGGAGGGGCTCCATCATCCGCCCCTCTGCCGCCTTCCCCTCCCCGACCCCAACTGCCACCAGCACACATGCTTCCTCTCTCTTCCCAGGGCCATCCCACCTCCAAGGCGACGTGAGACCTGCACGAGGACCCTGGGGCGCTCTCCTCCTGTGGGCTGTCTGAGCAACACCACGGCCAAGTCCTGGGGTCATCTACGGCGTTATTCTTGGCGAACTTGATGTTTGCGCATCACCTTTAATAACTTTATTACCTGAACCACCCAGCATTCATGAAATGGCAACCGTGACGCACTAGCTGGTGCTGTGACTGTTTATTCATTCCACAAACTTTTATTGAGCACCTACTCTATAGACCAGGAGTTACACAAGGGTCTGGTGACGTCGTGGTAGGGAACACGGTCCCTGGCCTCAGGATACCAGATAGATATTGTGAGATAATAGAAAAAATGTGCACTGGAGTCTGCCACCGGCTCCTGGCACGGGGCTCCGGAGCCCTTGTAATTTCCTTAGTGATGAGAACATGAGGAGCATCTCTTGTTCTAATATTTGGTCTTTGACCCTCGTTCCTGACACAGAGCTCCTGAAACCCTGGTAATTTCCTGGGTAATAGGAGGGTCTTTTGTTCTAATGAGGTGACTCTGGGTGGGCTCCTGGTTGAGGGCTGCTCACTGGAAAGACCCACCCGTGATTAGAAGCTTGGAATCTTCAGCCTCACCACCCCACATTCTCTTGAGAAGGGAGAAGATCTGAAAAATGGAATTAATAATGGATCTTGCCCACGTGAGGAAGCCTCTGTACGTAAAATCCCACTACTGTGGGGTTCAGAGAGTTTCCAGGTGGGTGAGCACAGCCACGCGGGGAGGGTGATGCACCCCAACTCCAGGGGGACAGAGGCTCCTGCAGTCAGGACCCTCCCAGACCTCGCCCTGTGCATCGCTTCATCTGTGTCCTTTACTATATCCTTTAATAAACTGGTAAACGTTCGTGTTTCCCTGAATTCTTTGAGGCGCTGCAACAAATTAACCAAACCTGAGGAGGGGGTCGTGGGAACCTCTGATTTGTAGCCAAATCCTACAGAAGGTGTGGGTAACTTGGGGACTTGTTACCGTTATCTGTGGGACAGGGAGCAGCCTTGGGGGGCTGAGCCCTTAACCTGTGGGATCTGACGCTGTCTCCAGGTACACAGTGTTAGAATTGACTTAAATTGCAGGACACTCAGCTGGTGTCATGAGAATTGCTTGGTGTGATGTGGGAAAAACTCCCACACATTTGGTGACCAGAAGCGTCAGAAGTGAGGTGCTTTGTACGAGGAATAAAGAAGAGAAACATGGGAGGGAAGAACCGGGTTATTCCCTATTCGGGAAAAGACTGAACTGAGGTTTTTCCTTATACAGATATGCAAATAAATGACAGTTGATGTGGTATGTGCTGTAATGACGCTAAGCCTGAGGGGCAGGAAAAGGAGAAGCATCTAGAAGTCTGGCTGGGGAGTTAAGAAGGGGTCCCAGAATCCATGACACTCAGCTGAGATCTGAAGAATGAGGATGAGCCCAGGTGACACCCAGGAGGAGAGAATTCCAAACTAGGGATGGGGAAACTCACCAAAGTGCTCGTGGTTGAGGAGACAGATAACCTACTATTGCTGGACCACTAAACATGAGGCAGTTCAGGCTGGACACCTATGAAGGGCCTCATCTGTCAGGCCAATAAATTCGTGTTTTATCTTACAGGCTGCGGAGAGTCCCTGAAGAATTCTGAGCTGCGGGGTCACAGAAGCAGAGATATGCATCGGGAAAACGGCTCTGCAGCAACGCAGACAAATGGGATGCAGAGGTCGGGAGTATATGGGCCGCCATGCTTCAGGTGAAAGGTGGCAGGTGGTGAGCAGGGCTGTGGCCCGGGGTGGAGGGCATGGAAGGGAGAGCTGGTTAAGAAGAACTCAGGCAGGTCCTGGGTGTTGTTGGGGGGGGGAGGGGGACCTAGCATGATTTCCAGATTGCTCACTTGGACCAGCAGATGGTTGGCCATGATATTGCTCTGAAATTGTTCTACTTTTTCCTGGAACAAATGAGGTTAGCAGAGCGTGACTATAATCTACTGTCCCTAAGGTCTGGGAAAAACACAGGCAATATACACTTGCACTGAGGTAGAGCACGTAACATCAGCAGAATCGTCTCCACTTAAAGCCTCTTTATTTAAAAAGCCTGACATGAATTAAAAATGCACACAGGTGCCTTTGGGATGATTGCTCAATATCACAGCTTATAATTGGTAGGGCTTTGCTCTGAACACTTCCCTACTTCAGGTTTAACCAGAAGGAAGTAGGTAAGGACGTGAGAATGAATAAACCAGTTTCCCTGGAACATAGTTCCCACGAGGGCAGGAGAAACAGTTCCTTTAGGGCTTAGGTGAGAAAGAGTCAAAGGGAAGACTGAGTGCAAGGCTAAAATTTTTAAAATTAATTCTACAAGTAATAGGAAGACAGTCAAGCTTTCTGAGTATTGTGTGACAGAGAAAAGAAATGATTTAGAAAACATAATTACCCATGACATTTGGAATGGCCAGAATATGGGAAAGTCTATCGCAGGGAAATAAATTAAGAAACTGTTACAACATATCATTACGAGGTGGTGTGGGCCTGAATTAAATTATACATAATCCTTAATTCCCCAGATTCCCCTCGATGACTCCCCACAAACCAAGTATCTCAGTTTAATGTTAACTTTTCAAAAAAAAAGAAAAAAGAAAACCTCTCAACAAAGAAAAGTCCAGGACCAGGTATCCCACTGGTGAATTCTAACACTGAGGCTTCTCAAATTCTTCTAAAAAATTAAAGAGGAGGGAGGACTTCTGAACTCATACCCTGATATCAAAGCAAGACAAAGACATCACAAGAAAATAAAACTGCAGGATAATATTCCTTATGAATATTGATGCAAAAATCCTCAACAAAATACTAGCAAATTGCATCCAACAAGATATTAACAGGATTATACATCATGACCAAGTGGGATTTAGTCCAAGAATGCAAGGGTGGTTCAACGTAAGAAAATCTATCACTGTCATACATCACATGAATAGTATAAAGAGAAAAGAAACACATGATCATCTTGTGAAAATGAAAAAAAGAAACCTCGTTTAAAACATTTATAGTCAGTTGATCTGGATAAGGGTGTCAAGTCCATTCAATGCGGTAAAGAATATTCTCTTCCATGGAAGATGCTGGGACAACTGGATTCCCACTCACAAGGATGAAGTTCTACCCTTACTTCACACCACATACAAAAATAACTCAAAATTGATCAACAACCTAAATACAAGGCTAGAACTATACAATTGTTAGAAGAAAACATAGGAGTAAATGTTCATGACCTTGGGTTTGGCAATGGGCTCTTAGATATGACACCAAAAGCTCAAAGCAAAAACAACAAAAATAAATAAAATAAATAAATTGGATTTCATCAAAATTAAACATTTTTACATGTCAAAGGACATTACCAAGAGAGTAAAAGACATTGGAAAGCAGGCTTGAATTAAGGGCCAACCAAGATGCATGCAGACACAGGTGTGCTGTATACTTACTTTGAATCGCGTTAATGTGCTTCGAAGGCTACCCCGGCACCCTTACAGGGGGGCAGAGTTCGTTCTATGGTCGTTGCTGTTGTTTACTGCTGCCTGCAAAGCTGAACAGAGGATACAAAGAGGTGCTCATCTCAGCACGCCTGCAATTCTCAGCTCCTTGCGAAATAGACTCCATTTTTATACAGTTTGTGGTTTTGAGTTACAGGTTTTTTTTTAATCTTATGAAAAATGAATAACCTCCTACTTCCCTACACCCACTTTTAGCCCTATCATTGGGGATACTTCTCTTTAACTCATTATCATAGTTAAAGGTGGGCTCTGGAGCCAGACTGCTTTGCATCTTTACTAGACTCTTTGGACCTCAGTTTTCTCATCTGTAAAATGGAAATAACAGTAGGAACTGCATTATGGTGCTGTTGGGATTAAGTCAGATAATCCATGTAAAGAACCTACCATACTGATAGAACACAGTAAGTACTCTGTAAGTGCTAATGGGCATTACCCCATACTATTCTTATTTCTAATAATTACCCAGAAATATTAAGTGCCCTTTTAGCTTGTCCTCGAGTAGCAGGGAGCAGTCAGTTCACATTCCCTCACCCAAGGTTCATTACTGAGTCATAGATAAAGTAGGAAGGAAAGTCATAGAACAGAATTTTGGCTTAATTATATTTGCAATTCCAGTGGTACAATCTTGAAAGTACCCTTTACTTCTAATTTTTAAGCAAACTTTCACGCATCATACATCACTGTGTACCATGAGAGCCTAACACCTCTAATCATACGGTTGCCAAAATGCTCTGACTGGTTTGGGGTGGAGAGAGGGAGTTCAAGCTTTGCTTGGGTCCAAGCATTACATGCAAAAGTAATTTTGAAAAGCATGTTAAAGTTGCCAGTATTTGGTTGTCAACTAAATCTTAGTTAAAATGTGAGAAGCTTTTGTTCTCATTTTTTTAAAAATTATTTATTTATTTTTGGCCGTGTTGGGTCTTCGTTGCTGCGCGTGGGCTTTCTCTAGTTGCGGTGAGCGGGGGCTACTCTTCGTTGCGGTGCGCGGGCGTCTCATTGCGGTGGCTTCTCTTGTTGCGGAGCACGGGCTCTAGGCACGCGGGCTTCAGTAGTTGTGGCGCACGGGCTCAGTAGTTGCTGCACACTGCCTCTAGAGCGCAGGCTCGGTAGTTGTGGCGCACGGGCTTCATTGCTCCGCGGCATGTGGGATCTTCTCGGACCAGGGCTCGAACCCGTGTCCCCTGCAGTGGCAGGCGTATTCTTAACCACTGCGCCACCGGGGAAGCCCTGTTCTCATTTTTGATGAGTCAGTTATTCATGGCATGACTGGCCATTTAACATCAAAAACCTATTTAATCACAAAGAGCTTTTTATTTGAATCTAATCTCTAGATTACCATTTTGTTGGGACAATATCCACTTAAGACTTATTAATGCAAAAAGCCAATTCATAATATGTCGTCATTAGAATTCCAGCCACAGCTTTTGAGGAATCAAGATTGATCACTCTTGACAAGCAGCAGACCCTCCCAAAGCACCACAGGAAGTGAAAGTTCTCAGAAAGCAGGGGTTTTGTTAGGAAATCAACACAATAGCTCATTTCCTAATGAAGCTAGCAGGGGTCAGTGTCTTTTAGTTATGTTTGAGAAAAACCATAAAATTGCCTCATGAGATTTCAGAGTTTGGACGATCTTCAGTTGGAGACAAAAGACACCTTGAAAACACAAAACATCTACTCACCCCGAAATGTCCAAAGAAACCTGAAAATATTCAGACACCCAACATGTTCCCTGAACACGTTCCCTGCCTGTGCCTCCAAACCACCTCCAAGTTCTTTTCCTTGGGAACTCAGCAGCAAGGTAGAAGTAACAATAGAAAGGAACTAAGAAAAAACACTGGTCAATTGTTTTTAGAGGAATAGGGCCAAAAAATAGTGAAAGGCAACCTACAAAATGGGAGAAAATATTTGCAAATTATATATCTGATACTATCCAGAATGTAGAAAGAACTCTTTATCATTCAACAACAAACAACCCAATTAAACAATGGGCAAAGGACTTGCATAGACATTTCACCAAAGAAGGTATACAAATGGCCAATGAGCCCAAGAAAAGATGCTCAACATCATTAGTCATCAGGGAAATGCAAAACAAAACCACAATGAGACACCACTTCAGACGTTAGGACCGGTATAATAATAACCAAAAAAGCAACATAACAAATGTTGGTGAGAAACGTGGAGGAATCAGTGGGAATGTAAAGCGGTGGAGCCACTGTAAAAACCAGTTAGGCTGTTCCTTAAAAAGTTAAACAGTTACCATATGACCCAGCAATTTCACTCCTAGGTATACACCCAAAAGATTTTCTTAAAGGGACTCAGGTACTTGTGCACCAATATTTATTGCAGCATTATTCGCAATAGCCAAATGACCCAAGTGTCCATCAACATATGAAAGGATAAACAAAATGTGGTATATTCATAAACTGGAATTGTATTCAGCCACAGAAAGGAATGAAGCTCTGATACATGTTACGATACGGATGAACCTTGATAACATTTTTTTTTTTTTTTTTTGCGGTACGCGGGCCTCTCACTGTTGTGGCCTCTCTCGTTCCGGAGCACAGGCTCCAGACACGCAGGCTCAGCGGCCATGGCTCACGGGCCCAGCCGCTCCGCGGCATGTGAGATCTTCCCGGACCGGGGCACGAAGCCGCGTCCCCTGCATCGGCAGGCGGACTCTCAACCACTGCGCCACCAGGGAAGCCCAACCTTGAAAACATTTTGCTAAGTGAAGTAAGCCAGACACAAAAGGCCACCTATTGTATGATTCCATTTGTATGAAATATCTAGAACAGGCGAATTCATGGAGACAGAAAGAAGATTATATGTTACCAGGACCTGGGTGGAGGGGGGAGTTACTGCTTTATGATTACTGAGTTTCTGTTTGGGGTGATGAAGAATTTTTGGAAACACAACTAGTGATGTTGCGTAACACTGTGAATGTAATTAATGCCACAGGATTGTGTACTTAAAATGGTTGAAATGGCAAATCTTATACAGATTTTACTACAATAAAAAAAATAACTATGTTATTGGGAAGAGTTTGTTTCCAAAAAGGAAGGGGATGCTGTTAGCAGAGGGAAAGAAAAGTCATTAAATAAAACCAAAAGTAACTACTTCTCTAGGAGAAAGTTCAGGCTACTTCGATTAGTCTTAAGGTAGCCCTCGATGTTAACTTTCATCTGAAACACAAACAGGGGGAGTTGGGGAGAAGAGGTAGTATACAGCTGGCTTAACTGCCCCCTTGCCTGGGATGCCTAAGCCTGTGCCTGCATTTCTTCACAGCAAGGGGAGCCCCTAGAGGCGATGCTTATTGCTGATGCTAAACCTATTTATCTCGTTTTAAGAGCACCACCTCCTCCTTGGACTCAGGAGCGGTTCCATCTTATTTGTTTGCAGTAAATGCCAGATTAGCACGGAGTTCTGTTATTTCCCTTTGCCGGATGGGCTCCTACTGAATCAATCACTGGCTCTTCCACCATCCTGAAGGCCAAGGGAAGGAGGGCCGGCCAGCTGCCCTTCCCCACCGGCAACGCTCCATCCACACCTGTGATTCCTCGAGCGGCCACAAGATGGTGCTGTCGCGTGGCGGCCTTGAACCAAAGCGCGGCCCCAGGTGCTCCCTGCACCTGCTGGTTTTCAGAGGTGATGTCGCATCTTAGTCTCTCTTAGAGCTCAGCGCTTTCATTCCCACACCAAGGACTGGACGGCTCCCGGGCTGGTTCCAGCACCTGCTGCTCCACAGTTACCGGGTCCTCCCACGGGATCCACACCACCCGGAGGTCTGGCTGTTTTCCTTATAGGTCCTCGTAGCACAAAAGACGTGAACACACCCCTCCCACGGGACAACAGCGTCACTCGCCCTCCTTGTAAGGAAGCCTACCTTCAGTTATTTCAGAGCGCCTACACCTACCTTTCTTAGTTGCACTCATTTACTTTCTGAGACACAAAGATGATATGAGGACATCATCTCAGTGAGTCTTACAAGAAAGGGGGGAGAACAACCAAATTTCATCTTTGAGGACATTCTCATACATTCGGAAATGTCTCTACAACTTTTCATTCGGATAAAGGTCATTCTAAAATGAAAACGTCCCCCAGGACCTCCTGGGCTCACAAGACAAGGTGGCCTGTCTCCTGCTGGCATGAGAGCATGTCACAGCGAGGCCATGTCCTCATTTCTGAACCCAAGGAAAACATCAGCCGCAGACAGACCACCCCCTGACGCTGGTGTGCAAACAGCAGCTGCAGTTATTTTCATTAGGAACATTACACAAGCGGGAAAAATCTGCCTTCTGCTCTATAGGGCCATCCCAGGACACCGGAAATCAAGGCAGAGCGTTTGGGAAGGGTCCTTGGGTGGGTCGCAATGGCAGGTGGGTTACCAAATGAGGTGTTACAAGCCAGAAAGTGCTGGAAAAGGGGAAAAGGCGAAAATTAGCCCAAACTGCTCACCAGCACCCCTCGCCCACACATCCACAGGCTACGGTTCAGTACCTCTCTGCCTTCTAGGGGATCTCCTTGGCCTTGAACCTTCATCCTATGTGCTCTTTACCCAGCCTCCCCAATAGAAACATCTGGCCAAACCACAGTACAACGTCACCACTAGGATGCGGTCACACACCGAACATTCCCATCACCACAAGGTCCCTCTTATAATCACACCCGCCCCCCAAACCCTGGCAACCACTTATCTGTTCTCCGTTTCTAGAATTTCTCATCTCGAAAATGTTACATAAATGGAATCGTACAGGACGGACCATTTGGGGATTGGCATTTTTCGTTCATAATTCTCTGCAGACTCGCACAGGCTGCTGGGTGCATCAATAGTTCATCCTTTTTATCGTTGTTATGCCGCGACCTTCAGACGTTACCCTGGACACCCGCCTGGGGGTGGAGGAGACGTGAGGCGCGGGCAGGGGCGCCCCCATCTTCCCAGCACTACAATCCCTCCAGCCACCACCGCGCGGAGCCACCGGGTCCCGCTCGTAAACGAGGGCCCGGGCTGGCGCTGGGCAGAGCCCGGGGGCGGGGACAGGGCAGGGGCGGGGCGCCGAGTGCGGGGAGAGATCCTGACTGGTCGGGCTTGGGGGCGGGGCGGGGATAGGGGCCGGGCTGCGCTCGGGGGCGGGGCGTAGTCTAGGGCGAGGTGGGGCGGTGTTCGTGGGCGTGGCCAGGGCTGCGCTCGGGGCGGGGCCCCGCTGGAGGACTCCCAGCGTCAGGCTCGCAAAGCGCGTCCGCCCGCCGACGTCTGCGAGTGCGTGGCTCGCGCGGCCAGAACGTGTCGTGGACGTCGGACGTTCTACGGAGGAAGGCCGAGTCCTGCCCTCGTCCTGGGCGCGGGCGCTGGCTGCGGTGAGTGTCTGCGCCCACCGGGGAGCGGGCTTGGGGACCCTACCCAGGGCGAGGGTCTCTGCGGGTTCCCACTCCCCGCGTGCCCGAGGCTCCTCTTCTGCAGGTACGAGGCTGGGGCACAGGGTGAGCAGGCCCTTCGCTGCCATCAGCCGCTGCCCTCCGCCCTGGACTCGGGCTGCGCCGACCCCAGTTGCAGACGGGAAGCGGGTGGGCGTCGCGGTGACCCGGCCTGGTTGCGGCTGGTTGCGGCTCGGCCTCTGCCCCGCGTACCGTCCAGTCTGTACCAGGCCCTGGAACTCAGCTTCTTTAACTTGAGTCCCTGAGATTCTCAGCCAGAGAAATTCGGGAAGAGAAACGTGTCTCAGTGTATGCTTCCTGCCCGGCTATTTATAGTTCTAGGGGGGATGGAAAGAACACAAGTGTAGGAAGAGAGAAACGGTCGCAGAGATTAGGACGAAGTAATGCACATCAAATTATCAGCCCATTTGATGTGATATATAGAGTTTAACAACCACGTGGCTCTTTTTTCCTGTTGACCTGGTAAGTGTATTAATTTCCGAGGAAGGGGAAAGTACCCCTGCTGTGCAGGGGCAGTAGGTAGGGAAGGTCAGTGGGGGAAGTGTTGGGCTAGTAGCCGACTTCTTGGGCCTCAGTTTCTTATTTTGTACAACTAGGAGAATTGACCAGAGCGGGAGCCAGAAACTCAGTGGCCTCCAGGGGCCTGGCGGGTGATGTAAATAGGTAAACTGGGCCCAGCAAAGCAAGAGGGGAATGCATGCCCTGCTGTAGGCATTAAAATTAAATGGTTTTTATCCAAACCAAAATGTCTTTGGGCCCTGGCCCTAGGGATCTCAGGATGAGGTGTTCCCCGAGTCTGGAGTGACACTGCTGACCTGTCCGAGGTGATCAGGTCCCATCACTCTCCTGCATAACATGCTCCAATGGCTTTCTGTTAGGCTCAGGGTAAAGTCTTTGCCCCTGTCCTGCAGACCCACCCATCTCTTGGACCGAATCTCCCACCACCCAGCGCTCTGTTTTAACCCCAGGTGCATCATGCAGGCTTCCTTCAACACCTGGCTTCCGCTCCCACCGCCTGCCTTACCCTCGCTCTTCCCTCTGCCTGAACCTGCCTGTGGCCGTGCCTCGACCTCTCCCCCTACCCCTCAGTGTTTGTTTTCTCTTCTAGATTGTTGGGGTCACTGAGGAGAGTGACTGCGCCTGAGAGCCCAGGCCCCACCACACGCAGTCCTTCTGTGCCCAGAGTTCACTGCAGACCCTCCTCTTGGCAGCATCCGGAGAGAAAAATACCCATCTTCTAGAATATGGCAGGTGACTATTAGCCATGGGGGAGTTAAGCTTTTTTAAATTAAAATTTTAGTTAGAAATTGAATACCTTGTTATAAAAACTCCAGACAGCGCTGAAGTGTATAAAACTTGTTTATAATGTGCACTGCTATCTGGAATTCTCTCGTTTTGTGTTTTCTTACTGTCCATTTCAGCCCCATCAAAATCTAATGCTTATCCTGTCTTTGCTTTGCCTCCAGCCCCTGGGATGAGCACCAGGACATAGTAGGTGCTCAATAAATAGATATTGAATGAATGAGCCCCAAGAGTTACAACGGTTAAAGATTCAGCACGACTCACACCCATCCCATTCTGCGACATCTCTTCATTTCAACAAAAGATGAAAATCCTTTCATTTCAGAACATAAACGTTCACGTTATTTTACACATCGCGTTGTCTGTTAGGGTTTGTCAGCCTCGGCACTGCTGACGTTTGGGGCTAGATAGCCCTGTGTTGGGGGACCTGTCTGTACTTGTAGGATGTTTAGCAGCAGCCTTGGGCTCTGTCTCCTGTATGCCAGCCTTGCCTCCCTCTGGAAGTGACAGCCAGAAACGTCTCCAGACCTCGTGAAATATCCCCTGGGAGGCAACGCTCTCCCCAGTTCGTGTGTATCCTTTTTCCTTTTAAGTCACCAAGTAGAGTTCCTTTATAACAGATGAGTCTGAGAGGTTAAAATAAAACTGTTAATCATTAATTTCACTTGTGGGATTCAACCTTTACACTCAGCTGAATGCCCCAGAGCTGTTTGCTTCCAACTGACGTTTATATTTTCTCCTTAAGGGCCTAAACAGAATAATATAAATCAAGAGTTTAAACATTTTGGTCTCAGACGTTCCCAGGGAAGATTTAAACAAATCCCCACAGCTGCCTTCGGTACCTAAGCTCACAGAATCTTCTGAACGAGGAAAGTACTGCTTCAGAGGCTGTTGGTATTAACGACACGGCCAGGTCCTGTAATGCTGGTCTTCTTAGAGCCTCTTGCCCTCAGCCTCCCCTGCAAAAGCGGGACTTGATGCAGGCTCTGCCTCTCCCATGGGACTAGGGATCTGATTTTTGATGTCTTAAGTGTCAGTTTTTGATGGAGGGGAAGGAAGCAGAGCTGTGTGTCAGTGGCTGATGCCTTCCAACAAAGGGTCAGCACAAAAGGTTAGTCACGGTAGTTTCTTATGATATTAGGCAGCACAGCTAAAACTTATGGAGGATAACCAAGACAGATTGGGCTTTTAAGGAACTCAGTTGTGTTACTCTTGAGGAATTGTAACTTGTTGTATATTTGTGTGTTAGTAAACTCAAGTAATGATGAACTATGACATAATTAGATTTTTCTTAAATGCTCATTGTTTTAAACGGGTCACCCATAAAAAGCGTTGGTCTTTCTCGCTTAGCTTCAGCCATGGTGATGCACCTACATGTTTCATTGTCGTCTTAGTCCTTGTTGCATTTTGACAAAGAGGAATTATTCTTCAAGAGAAATGGTTTCTTGTCCGGATTTAGGTAAGAAAGTGCTCATCGTCTACGCACACCAAGAGCCCAGGTCTTTCAACGGGTCCCTGAAGGATGTGGCGGTGGCGGAACTGAGCCGGCAGGGCTGCACCGTCACCGTTTCTGATCTCTATGCCATGGACTTTGAGCCTAGGGCCACGAGGAAAGATATCACTGGTGAGTCATGGAATAAATGCTCTGGTTTTTTAAACTTTCTTCTCTGTGTGTGTCTTCTTACTGAGGTATAATTGACATAACGTTGTATTCGTTTCAGGTGTGTAACATAAGGATGCGATGTTGGTATATGTTGCAAAATGATGACAAGTCCAGTTAACATTCGTCACCACACAGTTTCACTTTTCTCCCCTCTTGATGAGAGCTTTCAAGATCCACTCCTTCATATATGCAGCGTCGTTACTGTAGTCACCGTGCTGTGCGTGACATCCCCGTGACTCAGCCATTTATAACTGAAAGTTTGCTCTTCTGGCTCTCTCTACCTGTATTACGCACACCCTCCAGCCCCTGCCCCAGGCAGCCACCAATCTGTTTTCTGTATTCACGAGCTCAGTTATTTTTTTGTTTTGTTTTTTAAGATTCCGCATATAAGTGAGATCATACAGTATTTGTCTTTTTCTGCCTGACTTATTTCACTTAGCATGATACTCTCCAAGTCCATCCATGTTGCTGCAAACGGCAAGGTTTCTTTCTTTGTGGCTGAATGATATTCCATTGTGTTTATATATCACCTTTTCTTCATCCATTGATGGGCATTTAGGTTGTTTTCGTATCTTGGCTGTTGTGAATAATGCTTCAGTGAACAGGGGTGCAGATATCTTTGTGAGTTACTGTGTTCCTTTTCTTTGGGTAGATACCCAGAAGTGGGATTGCTGGATAGTGGCTCTATTTTCAATCTTGGGGAGGAAACCTCTGCACTGTCCCCCACAGTGGCTTGCACTTTGCATTCCCACCAGCAGTGCACGAGGGTCCCCTTTTTCCTACATCCTCACCCGCGCTTGTTGTCTCTTGTCTTTTGGACGATGGCCATTCTGACTGGTGTGAAGTGACATCTCACTGTGGTTTTGATTTGCATCCCTGGTGATTATGATGTCGAGCATCTTTTCACGTGCCTGTTGGCCATCTGTGTGTTTTCTTCAGAAAGATGTCTGTTCAGATCCTCTGCCCATTTTTAAATCAGATTGTTTGGGGGATTTTGCCTTCTTTGTAATTTTTAAAATTAAAACAATTTTGAAAACAAAGCTTATCATTGCACATGATGGAGAGTTCTCAAGTCAAAAAGGTCTCAGGGCAAGTCCTTTCCCCCGTCCCCAGCCACCCGGTTCCTCTGCCCCCAAGGAAACCAGTGTTACCCATTACCTGTGCATCTTTCTGGAGTGAGTCTGCGCTATCTCTGGATGTACCTAAAACAATTAAGGGCATAGTCTCCATTTTCCCTCCGCTTTTTAAAAAATGGGGACATGTTACATATGTTGTTTTCTTTTCTTCTGCTGCGGAGTCCCCCATTGTATGGAGGAGCCATGGTTTGAGTAGCTGCCACTAATGGGCATTTTTGGTTGTTTCTCACTTTTGCTGTGATAACGGAGCTGCAGCACACGGTCGCGGCCATACGTGTTTTCCTATCTGTGCTGGTATATCTAGAATGGAGTTGCTGGTCAGAGGGAATGTGCGTTTTGAATTTTCGTAGATAATATCAAATTGCCTTCCATAGGTGCTGTACCAGTTTACCCCCAGCAGTGTTTGCAAGTGCTCGTTTCCTCATTTAACCAATTTTTGGATAATTGCCAGTCTGACAGGTGGAAAAATGGTCCCTGAGTACATACACAGTTTTGTATATGAATTGTAAATATATTTTTACCTATTTTTTTTTTTTTAGTTTTGACTTTACTATGGTGGCTTTTTTCACGCAGAATTTCATTTACTTTTGTTTAGTTGGCTTTTGACCTGTGTATATTGTGTCATGTAAACTCTAAGCTTATTTTTTAAAGGTGTTATAGTTTCTGGTATTTGACAGGTTCCACTTTTTTTTTTTTTTTTTTTGCGGTACGCGGGCCTCTCACTGTTGTGGCCTCTCCCGTTGCGGAGCACAGGCTCCGGACGCACAGCCTCAGTGGCCATGGCTCACGGGCCCAGCCGCTCCGCGGCATGTGGGATCTTCCCGGACCGGGGCACGAACCCGTGTCCCCTGCATCGGCAGGCGGACTCTCAACCACTGCACCACCAGGGAAGCCCTCCACTTTTTAAATTTAAGTATGTTCTCTATTCAGAATTTACTTTGGTGTATGATGTGAGGTGTGGGTCGTTTTTCCCAAGTACTTACCCAGCTCTCTCATCACCATTTATTACATGATCCAGCTATTTGCCCCAATTTAAAAGGCCACCTTCATTGTGATCTGAATTCCCACATGTTTTATTCTCTTCTAAACTTTGTATTCTGCTTTTGTTTTCCTATCCATGGCTCAGTACCACATGGCTTTAATTATTTTGGCAAATAATTTATTTAATATCTGATATAGTTAGGTCACCCTCACTTGTCTTATTTTCTATTTTTTTCTGACTAGTTTTACTTTTCCATAAAATCTTTTGAATTAGCTTTCCAGATTGTCGACTGAAAAAAAATGCACAACGTGAGAGCTGTGAGTTAAGTTTCTTTTGGGGCAAAATGAGGACTATAGCCCAGGAGGCAGCCTCTCCAAGAGCTCTGAGGAACTGCTCCGAAGAGGTAGGGGGGGAAGTCAGGATCTGTGTGATTTTGGTGAAGGGGGTGCGTGCAGTTGAGCACACAGTTCGGTAGAAGGTTGCTGCTGGTCACGAGGAGCACACGTCTCCGTTAGTGACGTTAGTGCTTTTCTAGATACGAAGAGATGCAAGAATTGGGCTCATAAACTCTTCTCCTGGAAGGATCTAACTCTCTGAAGACCTGTTCTGCCAGTTTTTCCGGGAGCACAGGGCGCCTCGTTCCTGATCTCCACCCTGAACCCCTTTCAGGGCGTGTTGAAGGTCAGTGGCCACAGCAGTTTGTGACTTAATCCTTGTAGAGGCAGATGGCAAGTGCCAACCTTTGGCTGGCAAGATTCAAAAGGTAACAGATGATCTTTTTTTAAACATCTTTATTGGAGTATAATTGCTTTACAATGGTGTGTTAGTTTCTGCTTTATAACCAAGTGAATCAGTTATACATATACATATGTTCCCATATCTCTTCCCTCTTGCGTCTCCCTCCCTCCCACCCTCCCTATCCCACCCCTTTAGGTGGTCACAAAGCACCGACCTGATCTCCCTGTGCTATGCGGCTGCTTCCCACTAGCTATCTATTTTACGTTTGGTAGCGCATATATGTCCATGCCACTCTCTCACTTTGTCACAGCTTACCCTTCCCCCTCCCCGCATCCTCAAGTCCATTCTCTTGTAGGTCTGTGTCTTTATTCCCATCTTACCCCTAGGTTCTTCATGACCTTTTTTTTCTTTTTTTTCCCTTAGATTCCATATATATGTGTTAGCATACGGTATTTGTTTTTCTCTTTCTGACTTACTTCACTCTGTATGACAGACTCTAGGTCCATCCACCTCACTACAAATAACTCAATTTCGTTTCTTTTTATGGCTGAGTAATATTCCATTGTATATATGTGCCACATCTTCTTTATCCATTCATCTGATGAAGGACACTAACAGATCTCTTTATTGAGGTCCCATTAAGTTTACGGATGACTCAGCCTCGTGAAGTTCTTTCTGTTCCAGTGGCAGGCGTGGCTCCTCATTTGCTCATGTGCTCTTACAACCTTCCAGGTCTGTTTACGAGTTTTCTTCATGCAGATCTCACATAATTCTTACTAAGTGCGTTTTGTTCCTCTGTGTCAGCAGTCCCCAGCCTTTATGGCACCAGGGATGGGTCTCGTGGAAGACAGTGTTTCCATGGACTGGGGCGAGGGATGGTTCAGGCGGTGATGCGGGCGATGGGGAGCGGCTGTAAACGCAGATGACGCTTCTCTCCCTCGCCCGCCACTCCCCTTCTGCTGTGCAGCCCAGTAACTAACAGGCCAAGGACCGGTACCAGTCCGCGGCCAGGGGGTTGGGGACCCCTGCTCCGTGTGAAGAGGACTCAGCTGTGTGTGCGTGTATGTGGCTGCTACTAATTTTCTTACTGTTTGTAGTTTTCAGCTGATTCTCTGGGGCTTTCCTGATACACAGTCAGGTCATCTGCAAATAATGATAATTTCACCTGTGGTTTTCCAGGAGTTTTAATTTTAAATTAATTACCTTTAATTTCCTTCTGTTTGCAGTTGGGTTAACAAGATCCCCAGGTTTAGTATTTAGTGCTGATGGTAATAGCTGACACCTTTGTCTTTTCTTGTCTTCCCTTTTTTTTTTTTTTTTAATTTTTTGATTTATTTTTTTGGCTGTGTTGTCTCTTTGTTGCTGCACACGGGCTTTCTCTAGTTGCGGCAAGCAGGGGCTACTCTTGGTTGTGGTGCGCAGGCTTCTCATTGCGGTGGCTTCTTGTTGCAGAGTACGGGCTCTAGGCATGCAGGCTTCTGTAGTTGCAGTGGGCAGGCTCAGTAGTTGTGCCTCGTGGGCTCTAGAGCACAGGATCAGTAGTTGTGGAGCACGGGCTCACTTGCTCTGTGGCATTTGGGATCTTCCCGGACCAGGGCTTGAACCTGTGTCCCCTGCATTGGCAGGCGGATTCTCAACCACTGCGCCACCAGGGAAGCCCTTCCCTTTTTAAAAAAAAACAATATTTATTTATTTATTTATTTTGGCTGCGCGGGGTCTTAGTTGCGGCATGTGGGATCTAATTCCCTGACCAGGGATCGAACCCGAGCCCCCTGCATTGGGAGCATGGAGTCTTACCCACTGGACCACCGGAGAGGTCCCTGTCTATTCCCTTTTAATAAACCAATTCTTTTCACTGAGCGAACAGCAAAGCAGGGACTGGGGAGAGAGAGAGTATTATGTGGAGGAGCCACTGGTTTTCAGTGAATCAGGTGACACAGGCTCTTTGTATAAAGTATCTTAAATGTGGTGAACAGGTGGGCAGAGGGTGAAAACAACAAGCCCCTTCACATGCCCTCCTGGTCCCGCGTGGCCCCCAGGGACCAGCAGGCGGAACTTTGTGGTGTGGATCATTGTAGATCTTACTCTGAATATCAACAAAATGTGTGTCTGTGTGGAGCTTAGACACTCTACAGATACAGACGGAAGTGGGGATTTGCTTGATTCACTAGAGCTTCTGGGAGCCTCTTTATGACTGCACGGCACTTCATGGCACCTGCTGTAACTTACCAGTCCCCCTGTTGACTTAGGCTTACTTTTCTCCAGCTTCCGTTTCAAGCTATGAGTCAGTATGTTTCCATGGCTCTGGACTTCCCGTCTTACTAAGAAAGTCCTCTCCATATCCTCACTTATAAAAATATTCTCATTTTCCCATGACATTTGGATACCTTTGCTTTGATATTTACTTTTATCTAGAGTACACGTGGCCCATGCACATTTTATTGTCCGTTTACCATTATCAGAAGCACCCCGTGTCCTCTGTGGGCTCCACACCCGGTGGGCGGCAGCCTGCCTGAGACACAGGCTCTCCTGCTCAGGGTCTCTGGTCAGTACAGAACCTCATGCACAGAAGGGTCCCAACAGGTGCTTTGAATGAAAATGAACCCCGGGGAGGCTGAGGGAGGAAGCAGAGCCCTGGCATGTTCTCAGCTGTGGCTGCTGAAGGGCTGGCCTCTCCTTGGGCTCCTCTGCAGGCCGCGTGCTGCAGGGGCCGCACCTGGGCCTCCCGTCGTCCCCTCTGCTGCCGTGTGGGACCCGTGGCCTTGAGCTCGGCCCTCAGCCTTCACCTCCTCTCTGGTCGGTTGGGAATTACCCAGCCTGTCGGGTTGTTACGAACATAGAAAGGTGATGCTGCAGAGCATAGCGTGGTACGTGGGGATCCTCAACCACTGGTGACTGTTGTTAACACTGATCAGTGCGGTTGGGTGAATCGTGATGCTTGAGGAGAACCCACTGAAGGCCTAGATCAAAGTGTTAACTTGGCTTTCAGCCTAGTTGTCGAGAGTTAGGGTTACGGTTGGGGTCGGGGTTAGGGTCGGGTTAGGGTTAGGGGTTAGAGTTAGAGGGTTAGGGGTTAGGGTTGGGGGTCGGGGTTAGGGTCGGGTTAGAGGGTTAGGGTTGGGGGTCGGGGTTAGGGTTAGAGGGTTAGGGTTGGGGGTCAGGGTTAAGGGTTAGGGTTAGAGGGTTAGGGTTGGGGGTTAGGGGTTGGGGTCGAGGTCAGGGTCAGGGGTTAGGCTTAGGGGTTAGGGTCGGCATCAGGGTCAGGGGTTAGGGTTGGGGGTTAGGGGTCACGGTCAGGGGTTAGGGTTGGGGGTTGGGGTCGGGGTCAGGGTCAGGGTTTGGGGTTAGGGGTTAGGGTTGGGCCGGGGTCAGGGGTTAGGGTTAGGTGCTGCAGGTTCCAGCCCAACCCCTCCCCACCCCTGCTGCTGCTGCCTGAGCCCCTCCCCTACCAGGCCTTCTCCTGAATCGCTGAGGCCACAGTGAGCTTTTCCAGAGCTGAATTGGAGCGTTCACTATATACATGGGGAGCAGCCCCCTGTGTGCAGGAGAAGCTTAAGCCCCTCGGCCGGGCTCACAAGCCCTGGTCCATTCCTGCAGTCACATCACCTGCGGGCCTCCCGGCCTCTCACCGCAGGTCCTTGGCTGTGCTCCCAGTGGCCCACTCCTGGGCTGGCCAAGTTGTCCCGTCTGCGTCTTCTGCCCAGAAGGTCCCCTGATTCTCCTGGCTGCCCGAAACTCCTACTCCGTCGTCAGAACCCCGACTCATCCCCAGGGTGCGCTCCTGACCCGCCCCCGCAGAGCTGCAGTGCTTGTTACATGTGCAGAGTGAGGCCCGCTGCTTCTGGGCCGTGGGGTGTGAGGCCCGTCTGCCGTAACGTTACACCTAGCAAGCTGAGTGGTCGTGTTCTGTGTGTTACCGTGTGGTTGCTCATCCACGTCTCCTACCGGACTGTGAGTCCCTTAGGAGAAGGTCAGGACATAGCTTGCTCTCTTTGCGTCCACAGTCTGACCCCAGGGCCTGGCGCGTGCTCAGGTCTCCGTGACTGCCCGGTGACCTGCCGGGGGTGGGGAGTGATGTCCAGGCAGCAGTGGCGCTGGTGGGATTGGCGGGATGGGCCGCGGCTGCCCTTGGGTGAGAACCCCTGTCCTGTTCTTCCAGGCGCCCTCTCCAGCCCCGAGTTCTTCAGCTACGGTGTGGAAGCGTACGAGGCCTGCAAGAAGAGGTCTCTGACCAGCGACATAATCGTGGAGCAGAAGAAGGTCCAGGAGGCCGACCTAGTGATGTTTCAGGTTTGGTTCCCCTCAGATTATGGTAACGAATTTGGTTTGTCCTGTGTGCAGTCTTTCCCGATACTGAGTTCACGCTCCTGGCGGTGGTGCTACGATCTGCACGCTTACTTCTGTCTCGTTGGGTCCGGAGACCCAGGGAGCCCATACCCCCCGTTCAGATCCTGACCTCCAAGTAAACAGCAGGGATTTCCCTTTAGCCTGTGGTCCCGAAACGTCTGACCCTGCAGAAGGTGCTGCCTTCGTCCTCTGATCCCCAGCCCGGGAGGTGCTGGGCTGCATGGAAACCAGATTTGTCTGCGTGGGTGTTTGTCAGAGTAATTTAGGCCAGATGCAACTGCTTCCTTAAGAATCCTGGTCGTCAAGCCCCGTGGGTGGCCTCACCCCCTACCCTCACCTGGTGCGCACTCACCTTTGTCCCAGGCAGGCTTCACTGCGCGAGAGCTGCCCAGGACGCTACGTCCACGACCAGCCAGGCGGGCATCATGGCAGCAGAGTAAATGTGCTTTTGGGGAGTCGTTGGGTGGATAGAAATCCAAGTCAGGCCAGGAGAGAAGGGGATTTATCGAAAGGGCCCTGATCGCTTGGGTCCCAGGAGCCCGAGGACAGGCCGTGGCGGGCTTCAGGGCAGTGGCACGGGGTGTGGGGTGTCTGCTCCCTTCCCCATGGCAGCTGCTTCTCTCCCATCTGGCCGCTCTACCTCTGCCCCACGTCACTAGATCCAGCCTCCCAGGAAGGGATCTCCTGGGTCCACATCGTCTCTGTTTTCTAACCTGCTGAGGGGCGGGACGTGGGCGGGAGAACAGGACCACCCTTGCGGTGGGCGCAGAGCCAGTTTCCAGACACAGCGCAGAAACGCCCCGTAGACTACACCTGTGCATGCGGAGGCGGCAGCCCCGCGTGCCCGCGCCTCCGCATCCCCGCGTCTGCCCGCCCCGCCCCGCGTCTGCCCGCCCCGCCCCGCGTCTGCCCGCCCCGCCCCGCGTC